AATCAACGAAATAAAATTTCCAGCAAATAACCTTCACCCATCTTTTTATTCAGATTAATCTTAATTTAAAAGCCACGGGCAATGGTGGTATTCAAACCTAGACCCGCTAACATGGAAAATACGAGTCGGACGCTCTAATCACCCCGCCACCCCATCATCATTTTATTGCATTAGATTTTCATAAGTTTTCCCTTCAATTTAATGGCAGTTTTATCCCTATTTCTATGCCAACAACCGCCGCTTCTTTGGTCATTTGGTGGTTCTTTTAAGCCATGACCTTTTAATCGCTCAAAGTTTACTCCCAAAATTGTCTCTTTAACTACTTTAGGATGAACGGACTTGGTATCAAGCAATACTATTTTTTACGTTAATTAATTTTTGTAGCGAGCTTCTACTATCAGTCAAAATTGCTATTTTTGTGCTTCCTGGTGAAAGAAAATAATTCGAGACCTCATCTATCGCCATCATCTCCACCGCAAAAACCAATGTGCTATTGCACTTAATACAATGAACCGTTAATTTTGATCCGCTCTAGAAAAGACAAAAACCCTCCCCCCTCCTAATTAATTATTTTCCTATTATCTTTGAAATAATCAAAAAATTATTATTCTTATAAGTTTTTTTAAGTGAAGTCGTGTAATCTATTTGATTCTGAGATTTAAAAAAAAGTCAGCGTCACATTTGAAAAATGGCAAAAAGGAGGTAAAATTCAAAAGGTGGGGTTGAGAAGGGAAGTTAGTGCCCAAGTGGATCGAAGTCACGATAGCTCAAGTTATAGCAGCGGTGTATAAAGCCGAAGGTCGTGGGTTCGAATCCCGCTCGTGTCACTGACTTTTTTATCTCAACTAAAAACCTTAATTAGTTGAAAGATATTAATTGGTAAAGCGGACCACGAAAACTAGTGAGTTTTCCATACCTCTAAGCCAATTATTTACCGCCGGCGATTCCTTATAAACTAAGTTAGAGAAGCCTAGAAATTCATGGTTAAATGTGTCATTGCAACACATTGTTGTCGACCAAAAAAGCGTTTATTTTTTCCTGAACTCTGTAATATGACTTTTTATTAAAATTTCAGTCCTTTTGTTATAAACAATTGTTTTCATTATCCTGGCATTGAAACCAAGGATCCTTTTAAGGATCGAAGGTTATTGTCTATTGTAGAACATTCTCGTCAAAAGATTTGACACAAAGACATGATTTTTATCACAGTTATATAATTATTTTTAAATATAGAAGTTGGTGATTGACTGTAGATATTTATTAATATCGATAAATTCATGTTTTTCAAGTTTTTATTTCTGTCAAATGTGATGGCAGCAAAGCTACGATGTTAAACATGGCAATCTATGCAAAATGGCATTTGAATTTATACAGTTTTGTTAATTCAAAAGGCAATAAAGTAACCAGAGAGCCGAGTCGGAACGGTAATGGAATTCTAAATACGAATTTCACACCGGTCTTTGATGTATTGTCACGATTTCCTGAATCCCATTGAATTCGTTTTGATTCCCCTTCTATTTGTAGTGCAGCCGGGTTGAACAAAAATATCAATATAAAATTAGAAAGAAAACAAGATCGATTATTTCCCCTTCTTAGATCTTATTAATAAACCTTAGATTGGTTTTGCGACGAAAGCCTAGTTGAAATCGAATACAAGGTGTATTTTGGCGTAAGTTGTTATGACAAATGTCAGCAGAACGCCGTTATTGTATTCACAATAGACCCGAATATCAACCGACATGTGGATTTGTTTGTTCAGATTGGTACTTTTTGTCAGACATGACAAACTTTTGTTTCATTAGAGCTCGACCAATGTTGAAATGCGAGATCCCGAACAATTAATTACTAGACCGTTGTACAAATACTGCATGTATGTACAATCTTTAAAAGAGCAAAAAACAAGCTGTTTTCAAATGCCCACATCCGTGCGATTAACTGGGCTATAAATTAGCCGATATTTTTAAGTCACGTCAACTCAGTCATGCTAAACACAAATCAGAAACATGCTAAACATATTTTAATCTTGATAGCAAGCTTCAGAAGGCAAAATGGAAGAAATATTTCGGCCAGTTGTATTAAGGTCAAGAATGATGTAATTTAGAAAAACACCTTTTTCATTCTTTTGCCGAAGTTTCAACCTATATTCGGGCCATCTTCAGGTCCTGGGTGAATTACGAAACATACGTTGATTGCAAAAAAATATAATTATTCAGAAATCGTGAGATGCGGTCTGTGTGATGTAAGTTTCAGAAAAACATTTTCTTTATCCCTTCAAAATCAAACATATAAACATAAAAAATAGCAAAATCTCACTAACACTCTCAACACGACACGCAAGAATGGTACAATTACACAGAAGACAAACAAGAGTGAGTAGAAATACTTTGATTGAATATAAAAAATATATTCTTTTGCATTGTATAAATTCACTTTTTTCCACATCCTACATGTATTGGGTTGTCCGGAAAATAATGCAGGATTTTGGTATTAAACAAAAAAAAAGAAACTAGTTACTTTAAAGCAATGTTCTTTAATCAAAATAATTTCCCANCAAAATCCTGCATTATTTTCCGGACAACCCAATATTTGTTAAATGTAAACAATGTTTGTAAATCCCAGGCCCTGAAGATGATCTCAATAAAGATCGAAACGTTGGCACGATAAAGAAAACGTTTTACTGAAGCCTACATCACACCAGACCGCATCTCACAATTTCTGAATAATTATCGATTAACGGTCACTAATCACCACACATAAATATAAATTTTGAACCAACCTTGCGCAGTGATAATCAATGAAGTTCTACTGAGATGCGATTATTGCTAGTTGAAAACTATAAACTTTTTTTAAATAAATTTTGAACCAAGTATTTTATATTCACATAAAGTGTGGTGCTATTCTTGTGGTGGTATTATTGGTTTTGTGAAAAGGGTTATGAAACCTGTATTTGTATTATTGTGACTGCATTATTGTACTGCTGGGGTTGTTCACTGTAGTCTCCAGAATTATGGTGAAGCGATAACAGCAGAGAAATATTTCTAAGAAATTGCACGGGAAACTGCAACGTTTTTGTCCAGGATTGATAAACCGTGAAGGGCTGATTCTTATTCTACACGACTATACCAACCCTGTGGAAACCTGAGGACTTAGGGATATGAAACCTTATCGCAGCCTCCATATTCACCCGACCTCTCGCCTATAGACTTCCACTTTTTAAGACGTTTTGAACATTTTTTGAGGGATAAAATTTTCTGAGAACGCGGTGAAGCCGAAAACACCTTCCAAGACTTTGTCAGCCGAAATAAAAAGTATTACTTGTTATAGTTAGCGCTTATTACTTGTTGGCAAAGATGTATATTGTTATGGAAAATATTTGAAATAAATTTTCTTTATTTTACAAAAATTAATAGTTTGAACCCGCATTATTTTTGTACTAGCCCAATACAATGTCAATAATGAATTGGGATTATTAAAATTACGAGTGTTTCTTATAACAAAACCTAAAATTTTAAGAGCTTTATTATTAACTCGATTAATTATTCTTTTTATCTATGGTCTTAGTTGACCTTAAAAAGTATCACGAGCGGGATTCGAACCCACGTTGAAAAATTGCAAAAAGAGGGAAAATACACTGACAGGCAAAAATTCCACCCACTTGTAATATAACTCGATTTTTATATATTTTTATATTTTAATCAAAGTTTCACTTTTTTAACGTTTGATAATTGAATCTATGCCTAAAAAAGTTTTAAAAAATTTAAATTGCTAAGGAAAATGAAAAAAATAAAGATAATTTTTTTTAAATTTGGTTTTACAGTTTTAATTGATATTTTAATATCGCATATTTCCTCCTCTTGCCTAAATTACATCTCGAAGACCCTTCGGCATATTTTGTACCAGTCTGGAAATGTCTCTTTGCTGGAAGTTAGCCCATTCTTCACGAAGACTACTTTCAAGGACGTGCTCTTATTCGTCTTTTGAGGTTATCCCATAAATGGTGATGGGGTTCAAGTCTGGAGAACGGGCTGGTCAGGCTAACTGATATTATACTGTACATTTGTACTATGAGAGCGACATGCGGAAGGGCATTATCGTGCATTAGAATAGGATTGTCGCTATTTTCATCGAGGATAGGCAAAACATGATGTTCCAAAATTTCATGCACATAGCGAGTGATCATCAAAGACTCTCCACGAACAAAACCAACTTTGTACAGCTCTTCATTGAAATTCCCGCCCACACGAACACTGAGCTTGGTTGGCTCTGGGAAAAATCACAAGCTTTGTACCTTTCATTTCGCCTTCTCCGCACTCTTTCACGCCCATCTGGAGATCACACCCATTTGTAAAAAGGACAGCAGACCAATCGTCCAAAGACCAATGGCTGTGTTCTCGAGCAAATGGGAGCCGTACAACTCTGTGTGTTCTGGTCAATTCTGGTCCAAAAGCCATCAGTCCATACTGATTTAATCTTCTTCGAGCGTTCAGAAATTTGGACACCTCGAACTTCCTGGAGCTCATGAATCGCTTGAACAACCTAAGGTGCCTATTTCGCAAAATTCTAAAAGTAAAAAAACGGTCATGCTTCTATGGTAGGACCCAGTTTCTCGAAAACGACCTACGGCGTGTCGCAGAGTTCTTAGGGAACTCCGATAGCAAAAGCCGCATACCTGATGGAATCCATCATCAATAAGTGCCACACTACGCGCAGCATCCTCAGCACTAAGTGTCATTTTAATTTTAAAAATTGAAATTAAGAAAACAAAGATGAAAACTAAACATTTATTGCTTCATAATTCAAATGAGATTGAAAAACCATTTTAAATTCCGTAAAAAGCAAATATTGAAAAATCCTTTATCTTTGTTTTGGATTGTGGATAAAGTGTGTTTACCTCTAATTGATATTCCCAGTTTAAAACATAGCATACACAAATATTTATTGGTAAAAACAATGTGACAAATTAAAGGCAGAATTTTCTTTTATCGAGAAAATGAAAAAAAAATCAATTTGGTGGAATTTTTTACCTGTCAATGTATATGATATATCGATATATCGTTGCCGTACCTATTTGAGTGTCTTGTGCCTGGATTGTTGAAATTTGAATGTGGCGCCGTTGGACGAAAGTTGGTGGTTTCGCCGTCGAAGCGCCGGCTCACCTTCGCCAGAATGGAACTCGTATTGACGTGATCGGATTGTAATAGTTTTACAGTTTTCTCGTCGATACAGGACCAGAAGTGTAAAATGGGCTACGGAGGCGAAACGAGGAGTCGTCTGTCTCGCCGAGGAGGTCGGAACCTGAAGGTAAGTCCCATTTTATAACGGGCCGAGGCGTATCAAAGACGGCCGTCCACCTGCGGACATAGGGCCGACAATTGTCCGCCCTCGGCCATAAAGCTCATTTTTGTCTGCTTTTCGACTTTGGCGCATATTTCAAACGAAGTGGCTTCTGTTCGCAGGCGGCCGGCGCACCGCTCTAGGGCCGGCCACGGGCCATGGACGTCTCCAACGCCGAGAGGGAGGCGAGCGAAGTCCTCCACTCCCTGCTTTCCGTACCCAGGGTTCAAACCAAGGAGACCAACGACGAACTGAAAAAGGTAGAATTTCTCTTCCACCTGATTCAACGCCAATCATGTCACAATTTATGGCAAAATTTCAATTTGATACACTTTGCACACTAATACATATTTATATACAAAACAGATAACTAAAAAATCTTAGTTATCATTAAATTATGGAGATTGTTAAATCTTAATGTAGATCAATTATTCTTTTTATGTAAGATCTTGGTTGAGAGGAAAAAGTCATGAGCAGGATTCGAACCCACGACATTCAGCTCAATACGCCGCTCCTCTAACCACTTGAGCTATCGTGACTTCAATCTACTCAGACACCAATTCCCCATCTTAACCTTACGAATTTTCCCATTTTTCAAATGTCATGTAATCACTGCGAGCTATTAATGAAGTGAATAATTCTATTATAATAAAATAGAAAGTTTATTGGCCGACAAACAGCTGAGGTCATCGCCGGCACTCTGTGTGTTTTCCTTCTTTTTCGGATTTTTCATGCGCATTTTGTTTTAAACTGCAGCCATTTGAGCATCCTGATCTGGTTTCTGACTCTCTGCTTTAAATGTGTACTGAATCGATATCCTCAGGTTGTCAAATACAGCATAGAAACAAAACACAATACATACATATGCATCACCACAAACATAGATGTCTGGTCACATTCACTCCCCCAGAGTACTCGATATTCCTCGGGGGCGAGGTTATAAGCAACCCCCTTCCTTTCTTCTATTATATTAATCCATTTATGTTTAATGGTCTAATTGACTATGGTCTTACTTAATATGTTAATTATTTCAATTAAGTAAGTAAGTCAATTAAGTATTATTTTTATGTAAGATCATGGTTGAGATGAAAAAGTTAGTGTTACGAGCGGGATTCGAACCCACAACCTTTGGCTCAATATGCCACTGCTCGAACCACTTGAGCTATCGAGACTGCGATCTGCACGTACACCAACTCCCCATCTCAACCTACAACTCTTCTCATTTTACCTCTTTTTGCCATTATTCAAATATCTTGTAATCAAAATTTGATTCTCAGCAACATGAAAATGGCCACGACGAGCTGTTAGTGAAGTCATTACTTCTATTATATTAATCAATTTATGTTTAGTGGTCTAATTGACCATATTAATTATTTCAATTAATTTTTCTTTTTATGTAAGGTCTTGGTTGAGATTAAAAACTTAGTGTCACGAGTGGGATTCGAACCCACGACCTTCGGCTCAATATACCACTGCTCTACCACTTGAGCTATCTTGACCTTGATCCACTCTGACACTAACTTCCCATCTCAACCCCACCTTTTGAATTTTCCCTCCTTTTTGCCATTTTTCAATGGTGGGTTCGAATCCCGCTCGTGACACTGACTTTTTTATCTCAACTAAAAACCTTAATTAATTGAAAGATATTAATTGGTCAAGCGGACCACGAAAACTAGTGAATTTAAGGTTCATTTAAAAAATAAATTTATTATTACCCCTTCGATCTACTCGGTCACCAACTCCCGATCTCTGCCTTTTACATTTTACCTCTTTTTGCCATTTTTCAATAATTAATATGGTCAATTTGACCACTAACCATATATGGTCTTAATAAAGACTTAACATCCTTCTTGTATATATAGCCTGCCTTAACCGTAGGATTTTATTATTATTATTATTATTATATTAAATCCCTATGTCTCTCCCTTCAAAAGGCATCACTCCTCACATCGATAGGGTCGACAGGTTGATTCAACTAAACTGCTCAAAAATGAATTGGAATATTGCCAATTTTGTAGTGTTTACTTTCCTGGCATTTTTATTTTATTTTTATTATAAATTACAATAGAATTTATTAGAAGTTATTATGTTTTTTACTGAAGGAAAATATATGTATATGCAGAACAGATAACTTAAAAGATTTCATTAAATTGTTAAGATCTTAATAAAGACTTAACATACTTTTTGTGTATGTAGACTGCCATAACTGTATTGGCAACAAACCAACAAAAACTTTCCTAGCCTTAGCCGAACTGGGGCAGTTTTTGGTATGCTTGCTCCTGGTGGTAATGCTCGAGTGGATGCGTCCGATGGCTGAGGTGGATCCAGGGTGGTGAATTTTTCAACGCATCATAGAATTTTTTTCTTTTTATTATATTAAATGCCTACGTCTCTCAAAAGCCATCACTCCTCATGTCCATATGGCTGACAAGTTGATTCAACTAAACTGCTCAAAAATGAATAGGGATAGTTTCAATTTTGTAGGGTTTACTTTTCCTAGCATTTTTATTGTATTTTTATCATAAATACATTAAAAGTTATTAGAATGTATAACGTATTTTTACCGAAGGAAAATTTAATTAGGGGATTTTGAAAAATAAGAAAATAAAAGGCTTTAACTCCATAAGTTTGTTTATTGTACTTTTTTTTTTTAAACAATTAATACTATGCATAATGTCCTCTGTTAGCTAAAATCTCTGTGCACTTGTTAGGCACACTTTGAATAAGGTTGTCACTAATTTCACAAGGAATTTCAGTTCATAGATAGACACTGCACTCAGTTGTTGCAAGTAAACTGGCTGCGGATGGTGGTTGAAAAGCCTTTTCTGTAAACCATCCCACATGTGCTCAGTGGGATCGAGTTCTGGAGACAGTGGGGGAACAGATGAGAAATTCCCACGTTTTCCTGGAACAACCAATCCTCTAACCTCTCTGAGGTCTGCCATTGTCATCCAGAAAACCCTTCCAATGAGATCCCTGGTTTGAGGGATGTAGTCCTCAATAATTTCTTGGACATAATGAACTGCGGTGAGGTTGCCTTCAACAATACGGAGTCCAGTTTGTCCTCCACTGTACTCTCTGCCCAGTACATTACACTGCCTCCTCCAAACTGCACTGAAAGGAGCACGGCTGGGGCATTGTATGCCCTGATCTCAGTAGACTCTTCGGCACCTATTCCTGTACAGACAGAAATGCGACACATCAGTAAACATAACATTCCAATTGAAACTGAGTCGCCCTTCAAAGAAATTTGAAACCATCTATTAAAAACTTAATTATGTCAATTTGTAGATATCTTTAAAATTGTTTTGCGTTGATGGTGACCTTAAAGCTGGTCGAAAGCTTGCAGCAGTAACAATTGAATTTGTTTTTTCATCCAGACCGTACAGAGAACCAGATTATTTGTTTGAAAAAAAATTGTTGATACATCTAACTCTTTCAATACATAATTCACTGTTAACTGCATATCACATCATCAAACTACAGTTTTCAACTTGACTTCACCTAAACACAGAAAATTTCTTCATTATGTCAAACTGGAAATTGATATAAATTGTGACATACAATGCTTGATTTATAAACTTGTTTATATAATCAATATGACGGTTTCAAGGCACTATTAAATTTTTTAGGAATCAACCTCTAAAGTTAAGTGGAATTTAAATGAGGAGCATCTTTACACAGTCCAACCTTCAAGTGATGATAGGCTAACTTCTGGGGAGACAAGCGAATATCCTGTGCATGTAAGCTCTTATAAAACGAGTCTAAAGTGAGAAAATGCAAGAGAAATTCTTTCAGGATGAGACAATTGCATCAACAACAGATGTTGAAGCAAACTCCTCAGGGACAAAAACTAAAAAGAAGCTTGTCAAAAGAAAAAACACAAAAGTTTCCGATGAGTTAAACAGAATAGAGGACAATGCTCAGGCAGTAAGAGATAGATTTCAACATGGCTGTGACTGCAGTGATGACAGTTGTTTCAGGGGTCTCAATCCTGAATCTGTTTACAGGTTTAAAATACTTTTTCGAAAAAGTTTCTTCATATGAAAACTTATCGTGTGCATTTTAGGCATCGGTTGAACATTGCTGAATTGACTAAAGAGGAGCATGATATGTACCTCATGGGCTTGACGATGGCATGCCTAGGCGATACTGATTCCACTGTCAAGAGAAAAGCGAGGCAGAGACTTAGAACGACTTATGTCCATCACGGAAGAAAAGTCTGCCTGTCTGCATTTTTGTATCTTGAAAATTGTACTTTGTACCAGTTGAAAAGAATAAGAAAGCACCTTACTATCCACGGGGTTGCTCCAAGAGTCCATGGCAACCATGGAAAAAAGCCCCATAATGTTTTCTCATTAGATATTTATAGAAGAGCGACTGATTTCTTAAGAAACTTTATTAAAGAACACTCTAATTCTTCAGGGTTGGTTTTATTTATTTTAATCTTTATTCTGATGTATTAGTTTAATTATTGTAATTTAAAATATTACCATTTTAGAAATATGAAAATGCCAGTCACTTTACCTGCAGATATTTCTCGTAAAACAATTCATAAAAAATACGAGAAGTATGTCCGGCAGTCGGCCCCATTGGGAGAGAAGTTGATGGGCTACTCTACCTTCAGACACTTCATGAAGGAGCAATTTCCAAACGTCCGATTCTGCAAAACTGACATCGGTAACTGGCAAACACCAAAATCGCTAGAAAACATTATAAACACCGCTTTATTTCAGGGCAAAATGTGTTAAATCAGAATTTAAAAAACATGCCATCGACAAGCAGGACGGGGAAAAGCGTTGAACCAAAATCGCAGGAGATTGAAGGAATTCCTGTTCTGTTGCACGACAACGGGCAAACGTACATTGTAACTCCTGTCCAGAAAATCGTCACCTCACAACTTTTATATGGTGATGTGGAGGAAGGAGAGTTATTTGTGACCGATATGTGAAACACGATCGGAAGAAGTGAAAATGGAACAAAACTAATATTGTTTTTCCCCATTGAGAGAAAGACTATTTTTAAAAATAAGCATTTAAGATCGTCTAGTCAGTAAATAGCATTTATTTGATTTAAATTAAAATATTTTGTTAAAACAAATATTTGGTTGTTGGAAGTATTTTTTTTTCTTCTTCTTCTTCTCCCTATTTATATTATAAACATTTTTTATGAATTCTGTAAATAAAAAAAAGATATATAAGTTGTATTTGTTTTGTTCTTTACATTAAACATTTGTTCGATGCATATTCTGTTTTCTTTTACCTTCTTCTAGTTAAATTGTATTATTTTTTTATGTACAACTGAACGCCCGAACCAGGGCTTAAATTTATTCAGAAAATTATCACGAGTACAAATTATTAATCATGAGGGCGATAAATAAGTAATTAAAACATGATGGGTATGGGTTGGCAAGCACCCCACCTCAGTGAGTCCTGCTGGCACAATGGCCTTATTTAACTCCCAAAACCACAAATCAGTTTGCAATTAAAGGAACTATTAACTAAATTGTCCAAATTTTATGAACAATATATGGAATTACCAACGGTGTAATGGCATTTGTCTCTTTTTCTGCCTGAGGGAAAATCCAGATGTTGAGCCCTACTTTGTTGCCACGTGAGAATGAAGTTCCGTCATACAGTCAATTATATTTTATAGTCTCCTTCAAAGCTGTAGATGTGCAATCAGAAGCCAGAAAATAAAAAGCGGTAGCTGAGTGGTTAGTGTGAGAAGGCTCTAGACCCCGTGGTTGTGGGATTGATTCCCACCGTCGCCTTGAGCCTTTTTTCACAATACTCTTCTTCCCCAATATGCATACGCTTAATAATTGTCTCGGACCTTGGCTAATATGCATAGATCATAAGGGCATTTAAATAAAAAAATAGACCGCACAGTTTTGACAGCCTTTGGCTAATGACCCTTATGCTGAAGCATACATGACTGAAGGTGAAACAACACAAAACGAAAGTTGTAACTTGAACTTGCATTTTGTTGATAGTGTGTAGATTTATCAAACCTACAGCACAAGAAATAGCTGGATTTTCAATTCTTCAAAAGGAGAACCGCCAGGTCATTGACACATCGTGCACTACCGTCATATCGTCCAAAGTTAATTTTTGTTTTAACTGTTTACAGACCATTTTCCAATGACATAAAACATGTGATTCTGACTATAGAATGGGGCCCAAACAGGTCACTAGTTTCCATGCAATAACATACATCAGATTCGCCTAAATAGCAGATTTTATAAATGTATAGTATCAAATGATTCAATATAGTTTTTTTTTTGTTTTTTTTAATTCATACTGATATGCTGAACAAATTTATTTATGTGATTTATTAGCGTGGCTTTACAATAATTTAATTTGTAGATTGGTTATTTATGATCATTTTGGTTTGGTCTGTCAGATGAATTTTAGCTTTCTGCCATCGTCTGCTTAAGAAAACGCAAAGTTTAAATGCGTATGATATACCAAACCAATAGATCCAAAACACTGTGAGGATAGGCAGACCAAAATTATTGGAATCAATCAAACTACAGCTCTGGGGACTGTGGTGGACGACTGGTTAAGGCCCCGCTTGTATTTGCCATGCTAGTGGTTCTGGGTTCAAATCCTGGCATAGCCCATGACTTTCTAATTGAGGAAACCATTCACTAAGTAGGGTTGTGGCATACTTGATATTCCTCCACCACCCCTTACCAAAAATTGAGGGTTGATATTCAATATTCCATCATAGGTTATACCACACTAAACACACTTGAGGGGGCCACGGTAGCCAAGTGGTTAAGGCATCAGACTCTTGGCTAGTAGATCCCGCGATCATGGGTTCGATCCCCACCGTCGCCTCTGGGCTTTTTTCTGACGTCTAAGGGGACCGGTGGCCACAATTGAAAGAAATTGACACGGCACTTATCAATGGAAGGGGAGGGATCATATCTCAACGACCCTGAATTTAGTCCCAAACCCCTTCAAAAATGAGTTTCTTCGATGGAAGAATACCGGCACACGCTCAAATTCACACTTATGTTGCAAGTCCCCATAAGTGGAGCCAGGTATAAAGTACAATAAGCTGTACAACTGTAGTGCTCAGGGGAACTCCTCCTGTTCCTGGTATCCATTGGAGGGGAACAAAAAAAAACACTAAATATACACAAACTTAATATGTATCAATACTATCAGCTTATTCAGCTTTCTACTTAAATCCAGGAGACCCAAATACTCGCTTCCATGCTTAAGCCTAATTTCCATACAGGGTGACATTCCTACACACTCTATGGAGCCAAGGAATGACACCCTTCAATCAGTGGGACACATTGAACAATCTTTCTCTACATGCTGGACGCATATGCGAGCTCTGGGCCAAAAGTAAGTGAGTGAACTACGAATGGCCTATTCCTAGTAGAGTGAGGATGATTCCTCTTTTACAATTCAGATCCTCCGAGGGACACCTATCAACTGTGCTCTTGATATACAATAACTTCTCTGTCAATCTGGCCCTACATCAGTGCCACTTGCATTTAATAATATTTGTTGTTGCATTTTTATCTTCTAAGGGCCCCTATTGCAATGGTCAGGTGATATTGAGACAATATGGGTCTGCTGAAAAAAGCAAACAGTCTAAATGCATCTGACAGACCAAATCAGCGAGGCTAGGCACACTAAAATTATCAGAATCAATCAGACTACATCTCAGGGGGCCGCGGTTGAATGGACAAACAGGATAGAGCATCCAACTTGTGTTTGTCATGCTAATGGATCTGGGTTCAAATCCATCATAGCCCATGACTTTCTAATTTTTTTTTTTTTCTTCTTCTTTAGTCCTCTACATATTATATTTTTGGAAAAACCAAGGACCAAGGAAATTTTGTTGAGTTGAAAAGGATGACCTAATAATTTTATTTGTTCAAATAGTAAGTGTATTTATGAGATTGTCAATCCTTTCATTTAAGAAATTGCAAAGGATGGGTTTAGTTCATTAATGAAGTATTTTGTTTTATTTTTCCTATTCTCAAGCTGTTTTTCCCACTACAAAGCTTAGCCTTGAATAACAACCTACCTAGGTGCTAAAAAAAAATATTTGTCATATTTCCACTTTTTTTAAGGAGTTTTGATTAATTGAGGATTATAACACAATTGATTTGTTTTAGAAGATATGCCTGCCGAAGACACCCAGCTCTCCATCACTGATGTGGTCGACCTCTTGGAACAACAAAATGCCATCATTACAGGTATTATTTAAATGTAAAATTAAATTGTTTGATTTTAATTTTGAAATATCACCTAGGTGGAAAAACAAGGGAAGGATACCCGATCATCACTCTTCCAGACTTGTCGAACTTTTCTACCATGAGCGATTTGGACTATCAAAAGCTAATGATGTATCTTACCTCAGTGCCTTCGTGAGTGTACAATTTGAAATTGTTAATTGGCTGTAAATTGTTTGTAAAGTGTTGTAATTGTTTAAACATAATTTTTCAGAATGCATGAAGCAGATTTAGGTTTTGCATTAGTCATCGACCGAAGAAATGATAAGTGGAGTTCGGTAAAAAGTACCCTTTTAAAAATCTCGGTAAGGATTTTTCCAAACTTGCAAGCTTCTGAAAAAATGAAAAAGGCACAAAATTGGACAGCAAAATTCGCACTGTGATCCAATCCTTTTTATTTTATTTTAATCACCTCTGAACCCTCTCCTGACTTCCCTTTCGCAAGAATAAGGCATTTTTAGTTTAACGACAAATTTTAAACTTTATTTGGTTTTTTTCTAGGAAGTGATTTAAATTTGTTTTAGTTGTTATTTGTTCATTGCTTTGTTACAGAGTTTTTTTCCAGGGTTAATTCACATAGCATACGTCATCCGCCCGGCAGGTTTCTTCCAGAAAGCAATATCTGAAGTTAGCACGAAATTTTTTAGAGAAGAATTTAAATTTAAAGTAAGAGAATAAATAAACGTTGTAAAAAAAATACGATTATGTTTTAATTGTCATAATATATATTTCAGGTCGTAGTTTGCAGTTGTGTAGAAGATCTTCATCAATTTATAGAAAAGAGTGAGTTAATAAAAGAAATGGATGGAACTATGCCATACAGTCACAAACAATGGATTAAACAACGAATTGTAAGTTTTTAAAAAGGATTTTGTACTGTGTGTACCATTTATTAAACAAAATGTTTAATTTTTGTCACTTATTTCATTTATAAAATTTAATAAACTTTGATTAAAAAATCGTATATTTTAGGGTTTAGAGGAGTTTTCCAGACAGACTCAAACTGTGTCTGGAAGCCTGAACAAATTCACCTGGAGGCTGCGAGAGGGTATTTGCGAAGCGGAGGCTTACGAAACAGAAATGGTACAAGCGATGCTTAAATCCGAAACAAACGACTACCTCGCCCTCAAGGAGCAGATATTAAGTGCAGCAAGAACAGGCGAACAGCTCTTAAGCGACATAAGACACAGGATGGAACCCTCGGCCATCGTCAACATAACTGCTGTTGAACGACTGCTTGTCCAGCTTGAAGAAACCGAAAGGACCTTCGACGAATTCTGGGAAGAGCACTCAGCTAAACTCAGACAGTGTCTTGACGTACAAAGGTTTTACATTGATTACAAAAAGATACAGGCTAACCTGGAACAACACTCAAAAGTTGTTTCCCAGATGACAGAAATCGGCGAGACTGTTAAGCGTGTTGAGTACCTCATCTTAGAATTCAACACCATCGAAAAATTATGCGTGGTATGCTTTTTAATTTTTATGTATAAATTTTATTTGTTTATAAACTTTATTTATTCCTTTTTCTATATAATTATTAGGAGGATATAGAACATAGCGAAGAAATTGTAAATTTTGGTCGGTCGTTGATCAGCGGGCGGCATTACTGGCCTTTGGAATGTGTGGGTGTGAGATGTGATGAATTGGACAGAACTTGTGCCACTCTGCGAGACAGACTGGCACAAAGATCTGAAATACTTCACAAATCTCTTCAACTACAAATTTCTGTTGATAAGGTTGGTTGAGAAACTAGTTATATTAGTAAAAAAGCGTCTTCAAGATAATATTATGTTATTATATAAAACTTTAAAAACAATAAATTTGATATTTTTATTGAAACTGTTTAAATTTATAGGCTAACAAATGGTGCACAAGAGGCATCGAGCTTTTGGAGGCGCGTCAGATTGACAATTGTGCATGTGCGCTTGATGCAGCTGAAGTTTCTCTTTCAAAGCTTGTTGAGTTTATGGAAGGATCGGAACAGTTCCACTCTGTACTTGTTGAATTTGCAACGCCCGAAACTAAAGCTTTAGTCTCACAGGTAACAAACTCGGCGTACAAAAATGATTTAGGATTTCTCAACTTTTGCTTTTTCAAAGGTGCTCCAAAGGATTGAGGATGTCAAAACGATGTGCAACAAGAGGATGGTGACGTTGAGAAGGCTCGTGGAAAAACCACCAAGACCTGTTCAACCTGTCATACCTGAGCCAGCCATCCCGCTGCAACCGGTTATTAAACCTGCCAACATAAATTTGAACAACAAAGCGGTATGCTTTTATTGATTTTTTTTTTTTAATTCTATTGCTTTTCTAAAACTAAATGCTACTTTAGTAATAAATTACTTTTTTAAATTAATATAAGAAGAGATTTGTTAATAACATAAAAAGTATATTTTGTGACATAGCGTGTCTCTTCTTCTTTTTTTGTTGGGCCCAACCCTGAATTCGGAAAACCAAAACAAGGTCCCAGAGGTTTTTTACGATCGGACCTCACTACAATTATTTCATTTATCGATCAGGCACCTTTTATATTTCATTTAAACCAAAGTAAATACGACACCAAATGTTTGTTAAATTTGAATCTTTAATTACAATTTATTTTCACATAAAATGACAATATATTTTATTAATTATTATTTTTAATTTAAAGAATCCTTTTATCCTATAACAAACCTATCTCAAATCTACAAACCTTAATTTTAAAATGGAATTTGATTCTCGTTTTATAGTTTCATAAAGAAAGGTAAAGAAATTATTATTATTATTAAAATTTTGACCGCCAAATTAGAAAATACAATTAAAATATTAACACAACTTTTAAAATGAAATATTATTTCTTTTATTTTTCTTTATAAAAATAATACCCTTTTAAAACTAAATTACAATTGAAATTTTTTTCTTTTTATTCTTTAAAAAATTGGTATACAGCTCTATTGGTACACAGACAAGGGTAATTTCCTTATTTTCCCCAATGCCTAACTCTACTGCAATCACAAACAACTCTGGTACCACTGATGTGGTCACCTTCCTCAATGCCGCCTGGCTGTCCGAATGGCTATTGTTATGTTACATGCCCATGATCCCGCTCGACAGTAAAATCAAAATAGAAAACTTCATGGGTAATATGCCAGCATAAACCGAAAAGAAAAAAGAGAAAAAAAACGATAACCTAGCTTTTTCCTGGGCACCGTGTTATTGCCTAAGGCTTGCTTATAAGAATTCTACTCCTTGGTTCATTTCCATAAATACCAGCTCCTGACTCATACTTGGTTTTGGAACAATCCAAAAACCAGATATGTTCGGCATTAATGATCTCTCCCCGTCTGCTCTACCAGGTATTTTAATTTGAAATTTTAATCAGATCTGAATTTGGGCACCATAGCATCAATATAGGTATCCCCAGAACTCTGCCTACCTGAATCCCCCCCCCCTGGATTAGTTAGTATGTGAGTAGGCTTATATAATAAAGAATATGACAGAATAATATTTGTAGAACTATATCATTTTATTAAGGTACTTCTTGTTGTTATTGCACAATAAAAGATTTTAATTGATTTAATTAAATATTGTATGAATCAAGGATGAGAAATGTGAGATGAATATCATTCTAAAGTTTATTTTCCAACATTCTTTTGTGACTCAAACAAAACAAGTTATTGTTAAGCGAAAGCGTTATCAAAAGAATTTCAGCACAGTGAATTTCACTGTTTAAATCTTGCAGTAAATATTTAAAGATGTGATAATCAGAAAGCTCTTTACTGTGTGCTTCTTATCTTTTGAGATAAAGTGTTGAATTTTAGTCAGTGTAAAACCTAATTGTCGGTGATGTGTTGTTTCGAGTGTACGTATTCAAGGTGACTTTTTAAGATTTCGTGAAAATGATTGAATCGGACAGCGCAAAACTTTGGGAAAATGTCAACGCAATGTTAGATCGAATCAGCAGTTTGGAAATAGACAATTTCGATCTGAGAAACCGCATTGATCAATTGGAAAAGAAGATTGTTTCTTTCAAATGCGAGCACCATGTGAAAAAAGTCAAACCGCCTATTGCGCCAAAGCGTTCCAAGTCTATAAATGGTGTATGTTTAAAAGAAAGTGACAATAAAAACATTTCAGAAGTGGAAAATCTGTCGCAAAAAATTGACCAAGTGGAGAATAAAATTGCAAATATAAATGTTAAAATCAGTGCACCTCCATTACCCCTTAAACCACCGGACATAAATAAACTCGATAGTTTAAAAAGTAATAAGACAGAAGTTGAAACTTTACTAATAGATGAATGTAAATTGAAAAATGTCCCTGTTTTAAGATATTTACAAAACAAAGTTGCAAACATAGATAGTTTGAATCATCAGAGTGAAATTAAACAACCAACTAATGAAGAAAAGGACAACAGCTTGTTAGCCATCAATCCTATGACTAATAAAACCCTGCCTTACACTTTGCACCCTCTAAAGCAACCACCTTCAGCCAAAACTGGCGAACAAGCAATGCAAAATTCCACTGTAAAAAAGTTAACTTTAATGAGATCGTTTTCAAGTGATTCTTCAGTATGTGCAAAAAGAATGTACAAATCTAACAGTTTGAACAGGAAAAAATGTGTTTCTCAAACATTTCACGAATATTCTCCTGTAGTTAACAGTGTTATAAAGAAAACTCAAGAAAAGGTAAAATCAAACGAATGTCAACCATCTAGTGATTACGATCTTCCAATGTTTAAATCATTTAGAGAATCTCTTAGTAATGTTATCAAAGAAAACAAAATTCAGATGACAATAAAATCTTCAGACCAGCCTTGCCTCAAATCATTATCGGTGAATTCCATTTCAAGCTTGTCATCACAAAATTCACTCACTGGTGCCAAGTCAAATAACCATGTCGATCAACATCCCGCAGGGAAACAAGAATCCAACATTGTACTTAGGAGAATCAAAGAGATAGAAAATTGCCTCAATATTTCAGAGCCCTCGACCTCTCAGAGCCAGGCAGATGTTTCTGAAAATTCAGTTTTTAATAAAAAGAATCGAATGGCAGCAATCGTACCTTACACTCTCGCGACAGTAATGATTGCAGTGGATGAAGCACTTGCTAAAGATTGTACAGACGGTGTAAGTTTTATATTTTCTAAGCTGTTGTTCAGTAATAATTATTAAATACAAAAAGGTGTAAACAGGTTCTTTCATAATTCAACAAATAATTCATTCATTCATTTCAATTAGTAAAATTGCTTCTGGGTTAAACTTAAAATAATAATGAATTTTTTGGCTTTAAAACTTGTTTATGTCTGACCATCGGACAGTCAAGCCATAAAATAAGTCGTATTCACTAATTTCGTGGTCCGCTTGAACAATTAATATATTACAATTAATTAAGGTTTTTAGTTGAGATAAAAAAGTCAATGGCACGAGCGGGATTCGAACCCACGATCTTCGGCTTGATACGCCACTGAAAAATGGCAAAAAGGAGGGAAAATTCAAAAGGTGCGGTTAGATGGGAAGTTGGTGTCCAAGGGGATCGAGGTCACGATAGCATCAAGCCGAAGATCGTGGGTTCGAATCCCGCTCGTGCCATTGTCTTTTTTATCTCAACTAAAAACCTTAATTAATTGTACCATAAAATAAGTTTGTCCCTCATATTTTGGGTTAATGAAATTTTTAAGTTCAAGGGTAAAACCTAATTTCATTCATATTTTATACATTTTCCTCATTTATTCTAGTCCAAATTGCTCACAACATTTAATTTTATGTTTGATTTTGTATTTTTTAGGAAACTAAAAACTGTGAAATTAAAGATTCCACTCTAGAAAAAGATCAGGAGGTGAAACGAGGTCACATATTAAGTGAATTACTTGAAACAGAAAGGATTTATGTCAATGAATTAGGTTCAATCATACAGGTCAGCATTTTTTAGTTTAACGACTACAAATTGTAATCGTAAGACTAAAACGTTTACACTTTAGGGTTACAAAGTACCTCTACTGTCTAAAGAAGCGGCAGAATTTGCTCCAGAATTGGATGGAAAAGTTGAAGTAATGTTTGGCAATTTTGAGGAGATATATACATTTCACAATGACATATTCCTCCAAGATCTTGAAAATTGCATTTCAACGACTGAACTTGTAGCGCTTTGCTTTACTCACCGGGTAAATATACAGAGTTATAAACCATAAAAAAAACATCACTAACTGATCTGTTTTGCAGAGAGATGCATTGCATAAATTATACAGTACATACTGTCAGAATATAGCAAGGTCTGAGAGATTCAGGGAAAGCATAGGGGATCACGTCTTCCTTAAGGCCTGTCAGACTAAATTGGGCCATAAACTTCCTCTCGCTGCTTACCTACTCAAACCTGTTCAAAGAATAACAAAGTATCAGCTTTTGCTCAAGGTAATTGTTGTTATATTCAAGATTCAATGTATATTTTAACTAGTTAATTATTCTCCCAAGGAATTGCTCAGTTATAGTGAAGGTAAAAAATGGTGCAATGAACTTCAAGAAGCGCTTGAATGTATGTTGGTCGTTTTAAAATGTGTTAACGATAGTATGCATCAGCTTGCTGTTACAAACTTTTGGGTGAGTTTAAAAATTATTAAAATTATGCGTAAAACATTTGTTTTATCATTTTCTTTTTATTTAAGGGAGATCTTGGAGATCTTGGTGACCTTTTAATGCAAGGAGGATTTTCGGTTTGGACTGAAAATAAAAAGGACAGATGGGGAGAGCTCAGACTGAAACCAATGCAAAGTCATCTATTCCTTTATCAGAAAGCACTGATGTTCTGTAAAAAGACTGACTCGCACAATAAAGAGACATACCTCTTTAAAAAACTCATCATGGTAATTTAATTTTAATATTTTTAAATTACAAGAAGTGCTGAGTGTATAGATGTTCGTTTTAAGATGAGTGACGTTGGTTTGACTGAAACTGTGAAAGGTGATGGTCGGACATTTGAGATTTGGCTAACAGGTAGAAGCGAAGTGCATAGAATAAAAGCAGCAAACCAAGAACAGAAGGCTGCATGGGTCGAGCAGATCAAAACATTGCTTCTTCAGCAGCTAACACAACTCAAATTGAAACAACACACAACAAGCAAGCAAAAGTAAATTTTTTTAAAAATAATTATTCCAAAATATATAATCATTAATCCCTATATTATCCTACAACAGCCGATCTATGTCTTTGGATCATTATCATGTAAGAGATTCGGTAAGGGGCTTGAGCTGTGATGATGTCAAACCAAAGGCTGCACCATCTGATGATGACATCGCATCGTATTCTGACTGTTCGAATCCTGATGATGAGGAAACTTTTCCAAACCAAGTTAACCAAGATCAGACCATTATAATACCTTACAGTCAAGTAAGTTTTTTCCATTTCAATATTATTAAATTATTGATTTTTTTTTTTTTTTTAATTCTTCTAAAGGGATCAAGATACAGGGTGCTTGCTGATTACAATGCAGTAGGTCACAGTGAACTCAGCGTGCACGAAGGTGATTTGGTAACTTTACTTAAAGTTGGTCTGGCTGGCTGGTGGTATGTCAGACTTTACGGTAAGCATTTTAAAAACTATCAAGGATTTTTAAAAAAATAGAATAGGCAATTGTCAATACTCATCAGTTTATAAACAAATAATGAGAAATTAATGATGTTTTTGTATTTATTGTTGAAACTTTAAAAATACTTAGCAAACATAACTTTATTAATGTACATTTGTAATTACCATGAATTGAGGTTTTAAAAAGGGTAACTAAGGCAACATATTCAAAGTGTTATTTCACAAATTAGTTTATTTTATTTTATCTTAAGCAAAATGGATAGCAGATTGAGCTACTTCAGGATGAATACCAGAATACACCCGGTGCTGAAACATACATCAAAAGAACATAATCGTCCTTTGTCTCGTACACACCGTGTAATTTCAGATGACAATATTGTCACTTTGGTCAGGGATGTTGAAAAGAGCAATGAAGCCATTTTCAGAAATATCAAGTTGGGGCCGACCACAAGTGTAGAACGAATGGGGATGAGCATGACCTCTACTGCCTATCCGACAGTTAGGTGTGCAAGCCTGGAAAGACTGGTGGAAAAGATTCCTAACAATAAAAAAGCGTTTCATGTTAAACTCGCCGAAAAGAGGGTTTTATTTCCGAACTACGTTTACTTCCAGTCAAAAGCTGACGTCATCAGGGAGTGCCTGACTGGCAGACGGCTCAACTCCCAAAACTGCCGCGACAGCAAGAGTATGGAATATTTGGATTCTTTCTAGTTGCTAATATCCACTCACAAAATGGAAAATAAAAAATTTATAACTGTGTAATAAACTTTTTTCTCATATACATATATCTAATGTTTAAGCAGAATACATTCAATTTGTGAGATTTTTTCTTGAAACTTACTGCCAAAGACAGAACAAAACAGAGAAGATAGGTCAGGAGGATTGGAAACAAGAATTGCATACAAAATACAAACAGCAAGCTACAATTAATTAAGGTTTTTAGTTGAGATAAAAAAGTCAGTGACACGAGCGGGATTTGAACTGAATGGATTGAGGTCACGATAGCTCAAGTAGTAGAGCAGCGACGTATCTAGCCGAAGATCGTGGGTTCAAATCCCGCTCGTGACACTGACTTTTTTATCTCAACTAAAAACCTTAATTAATTGAAAGATATTAATTGGTCAGGCAGACCATAAAACTAGTGAATTTAGAACATTATATTTCCTCCGATCTAGAAAACAAATTATTTCTTGGGTGCTTTCCTGTGGCCCAAGCTTTTGATAGTGTGCACCAAGACATCCAAGTGATGACAACTACTAAGATTTATAGGACTGAAATCTGATTTAACCATCAAAACTCAGCTAACATTATATAAGACTTTTTTTGAACAATGGATACCAGGGGACCTGGAAGAGTTCCCCCCTGAGCACTGCAGCTGTTCAGCTTATTGTACTTTTGTACTTTATCCCTGGCTCCATTTTTGGGGGCTCACAACACGAATGTGAATTTTCTTCCATCAAAGAAACTCGTTTGAAGTGAGCTGAGACCAAATTCAGGGTCACTAAGATCTCATACCACCCCTTCCATTGATGAGTGCTGTGTCAATTTCTTTCAATTGCGGCCACCGGTCCCCTTAGGCATCAGAAAAAAGTCCAGAAACGACGGTGGGGATCAAACCCACGACCGTGGGATCTACTAGCCGAGAATCTGACTGAACCACTCAGGTACCGCGGTCCCCTATACAAGACATTACTGTGACCACTATGGAGTGGAACTGTGGCTTTCTGTCAAGCCATCAAATATCCAGAGCAGTCAATCTTTCCAATCAGACAACTCAGCAAAGCTTAATATCCACCTCAATATCCCTTTAGCCAAAGAACTTATCTGTTCTCACTTCTAAAAGTTCCACACCAAGCTCTTGATCTATCCTAACCCTACTGGCCAAGCCTTCTGTACACATTTCCAACTCATGAACTTGCCACATCACCTTTACCCGTTATGACCATGTATTAAAGTGTATTATATAACTACATTTTATAATAAAGTATAATAAACAATAAATATTTAGTTTTGAGCTCTTTTGTGTCAAATGCCTATATGGTGTAATTTTTACCACATTACTTTACAGTTTATTTAGAGACAATCATGCTACAATTGTGTATTTAAAGTATTTTTGAGCAAAATTTGTGTGCCAAAAGATACTAGAATATCACTATTCTTTCAATTTATGAGCTCTTTTTTTCCATTTGACTTCAAAAACATAAAAGTGCATCATATTTTAGGTTGATTAATTAAGAGTCACTACATGGGCTTTGGCCATTAAAAACATTTATTGAATCATAGCTGGATATTAGAAAAAATGGGTCTCAGGTCCTTACAGACTTTAAGCAGATGTAATTTATAGTTTAGGGAAACGCGGTAGCCAAGTGGTTAGTGTAAAAACTCTTGGCTTGTAGACCCTGCAGTAGGTTTGATTCCCACCATCCTGGATTTCAAATTCTTTCACGCTCTCCTTTCCCCAGAAAAAAAACTGAAAATACATGGAATCTGGCTAATATGTAAAAGAATAAGGCCATTAAAAAACAAAAATGTATAGGTTCAAGAGTAAAATAATTTATTTAATAAAAATTAAATGATCTTTTATCAATTTAAACTTGTACAAAATTTATACGTACATGTATACATTTATTTTTATGGATTTCCAGGTGTGAGTGAGGGGTCGAGACGAGAGGGATGGGTCCCAGCTGCGTATCTTGAGCACTGTGCCCGCAAATCATCCCGCAGCTGTCAATCTGTTTGTAGCGACACTTCTTCGCACTAGCACAATCTTACGTTCTCCCCTCGGGAGATTTTAGCACCAAAACTTATATGGCTAGTGATCAGACTGAGATTTTTTTACACTATTTTGGATATGAAGGAAAGTTCCCAGGGTAAAAACGGCAAGGATTGGATATTGAAAGAAGGGTTTATTATATTTTTACCCTATGTTACCTCAATGTTATTATTTTATTTTTACTAATGTTGTTGTAAATAATTAATTGTTATTTAAAAAAAATGGCTTTGTAAATATGTTGGAGCTTTAATTAATTGTACATTTGCTATTTTTATAAGTTTAATAATAGATTTCAGCACTGAAATTTACTTTTAGATTTTTAATAAAGCACTGAGTGGAATTAGCAGGAAGGCCTAGAAAAGTGTTAATGACGACGGAACTTAAATCTTAAATGTGACTAAACCTGAGCAAATGCTGAGACAAAAAAATAATCTGCCAAATCTGGTTTCTTCGTATTACTTTAATTATAATATGAAAGTTAGTTAATTAGTAATTAGTTATAATTATTAAACTTATTCGTTATATATAATCACTTTGATAATATTATTGTAAAATATTTAAAGTGCATAATAATGTATTATAAATTGGTTCCAAATTAAGACTAAACTAATAATTTTTCACAGTGAAAATTTTTTATAGTGCGTATAAACTGTAGAAAGCTTAGTAAATAAAATGAATGTCAATTTTAGACCAATAAATGGTCTAGATGCAAGATTGTTCTATTAAAATTCTTGATCAATTACAAGGTTAGACTTTTTTGTTAATATATATCACAAATGCTCAAAGTATTAATTCAGATGAGTACAGGGATTAGTACCTAAAAGTATACTTTTTATTTGTTTTAACATGTTACTATGATGATGACCAAAGAAATAGTTTTGACGAGGGCGATATTAAAACCTACTTGAAAGAAAAGGTCAAAAGTACTAAATAAATGATTTATACAAACTATTATTTATTTACAGGGATGCGAGAAAGGATACTTATTTTAATATTGTACAGTTTAATTAGTGACCATTTGCAGCTACAAACCAAAGAAATGTGTAATATAAATTATAAAATGCCTGGGACATCAGACCTTCTAATTAAGTTTATTGCGTTGTAGTTTGTTTAATTTAAAATAAATAAAAATCCTTTTAAAAGTTCCTTCTTAACTAGCCTTTTAAAGGTTGAATTTCATGACATGATTTAAATATTTCATTTACGGTTTTTATGCACTTTAAATATGACTAATGTTAAGGGTTAGTATCATATGATATAAATTTAGATGATTGATTAACCGAGTATAATGTAGCTGTTGCAAATGAAAATGGCCTTTCTGTGGGATCAATTCCTGCACGTTACTCAAAAGTAAACCGAAACTTAAATAAGCCGCAAGTATATTTCAGGAATATAATAACCCAGGGTATTCAATGACATTAGATAAGGTTAAATCCTGCATTTCCAAAAGTGATGCTACTTACATTTAAGATTAGAAATTTTGGAATAATTAGGTGTTTAAGGGTTGAAAATGTGACAAAACAATACAATATAATCATGTCTTCCTAAAGAAATGACACAATAAAAATTTGAAAAATGCCATTTTTTATAGAACTAGTTGTTATCGGAACATGTATTTGCAACGTTTTGTCTTCAGTTGCTGAATACCTGGGTTCTTAATGTTTCGTTATATTCTTGATTTTTTTAATATTTTTTATTTGTTATTTATAACTTATTATACTACTTCAGTAACATCAAATGAAAGAAAGAAAATTTGAATTAGAACAAATTTTTAAAATATAATTTCAAATTTTCAAAAACTCACCATTAAATTTACCATTTTTGTTAATTTTCAAATTAAACAAAATTAATTGCTATGTTTGACATTACCAACTAGAAAGTTTTTAGATTGACAATGTGGCTTTCAATTACTGTGTACTTTTTTTTAGTGTCATATAGGTTTATGAGTCGTTTTGACTTTCAACAGATGTTTGTTCCTTAACCAGGTACTCAGAAGAGAATTATTGTATTTTTTAGACTATCAGACGTTTTAACTTTTGTACCCAAACATTTGTATCTTGTTATAATTAAGGAAATATAAATAGCATTAAAAAAAAAAAAATGTAATCATGACAATATACTCTTACCGTTCTTGAACTTGCCTTTATTCCTTAAACAGCATTTTAGTCGTATGTTTGGTAAGTACAAGAACTTCAAAAAGTAAAAAAAAAATTATAATAAAAAATAAAATACCTATTATCTATTCAAAACTATTTTAAAAAAATTGTAACTGGATTGCATATTATATATTTGATATGGAATTAAAATATGTCTTCCTCTGATAGATTGTTTTTTCTATCTAGATCCTTACAGTCTAAAAGTTTCAATTTCAAGATGGAAGAAAATTGCGAGGAAAAAATGTAACAACTGATTCATTGCTTAAAGCATGGATTTGTTCATTATAGTAAAACTTTACGTAAACATATCTCTTTTTTAACAGCGAAATGACCACAAAGAAAGGCCCTTGTTTTAACATTCACAAATTATATAGTCAAAAGAACCAATTTATTTTTATATTTTTATTGTCTAACGCAGTTTCAAGTCATAATTTTCTTCCAGTCCCCCTTGTTCAGCTTTCATAGTGTATATTGCAACTTTGCTTTTAAAAAGCTTGACGAGGGGCCTGGAAGAAAATTAGGACTTGAAACTGCGTTAGACAATAAAAATATAAAAATAAACTGGCACAAAGCGTTTTGACAATTTGCTTGTCAAAGTAATGAGTTGGTTAGAAAGCTGTTGAATATGTCTTCTTTCAACAACTGCGTAGTGTTTGGACAAATGAAATTCCTGGATGAAAATAAGTGCGTCTCATCGCTTGTCCATTTCGTCCATATTTTTGCTATTTATTTAAAGTAACTTTTATAAAATTGACCTTTTTTTTCATCTTTTAGTGATGCAATATAAACTCCCATAATTATTGTTTAAACAAAAATGATGAAAAACAGTTAACTGTTAGCTGCAGGTAATTATTTTATAAAAGTCGTTTTCTTTCACTTTTTTTCTAGAAAGATATTTTATTTTAACTGCATCATTAAATTAATATCTATTTGGCCTATTCCGTTAGGTTATCGCTTTTTTTTTTTAACTGGTATGATTAGTTAAATATAATTTTTTTAAGTAAAATTTTTATTTTTAGCTTTGTTGAATTTAATGTTCTTTAATAATTTTGGGAGTTTTGTAAATCTTGCTAGAGCCAACTACCCAATTGGACAATTGATGATTGATTAAAACAATGGTGAAATTAGTTTTTTATTTTATACAATGACAGCTTTGATAGATATATTCTAGTATCACATGCTTTTTGTGCAATTTTTTTTCTTAAAACATCTTATTTGAACCATCATCCTGCTTAGACAAAAATATAATTTTTTATAATAAAATATAAAGTAGGGTGGGAACACAATTGTAGTGAAAAAGTAAATTAATGAAAATTCGTGTAAATGGAAGATGGTGCAGTGATTTTCAGGTGTTTCAATAGAAAATGTAAAGAAAAGAAGGATTAAAACATAATGAAACTAAGGAACAAGTTAACAACCCGTACGATATTTCTACCCAAATCTACTATGATTAAAATTATTATGTAGTACCTATATTAAATGTAGGTTTCCTACCTGTCTAAGTGACATGTGTTATCCTTGTTCAACTGACTTGGTTTCATTTGTTCAAATGATCTGCTTTTTATTGCTATTTTTCCAAATGCTTTCTTTCTAGATATATTGGGTTGTCCGGAAAATAATGCAGGATTTTGGTATTAAACAAAAAAAAAGAAACTAGTTACTTTAAAGCAATGTTCTTTAATCAAAATAATTTCCCANCCTGTAAACGTAAACAGAATATTTTATATAGATTTTTTTTAATGAAAACTTAAAATCCTGCATTATTTTCCGGACAACCCAATAGATCAGGGTCCAAGGGTCCAGTTTGCCAAGCTTTCAGCGTATATATGCCCCATTTTTCAGGGCTAATGTATGGAGAGAAAAAAATAAATGAAAAAAAAATTTAAGAGATCTTGAGTCTATATAGACTAGCCATAACAAGACCTTTTCCGTACCAAGTCAACTTCAATTAATTATTCTTTTTATCTAAGGTCTTGGCCGGACCTTCAGTTAAATATGCCACTGCTCTAACCACTTGAGTTATCGTGACTTCGATGCACTCGGACAACAACTCCCCATCTCAACCTACAACCATTTCAAATTTTCCTTTTTTTTGCCATTTTTCGTGGAATTGAATCCTCCTCGTGACACTAACTTTTTCACCTCAACCAAGACCTTAGATAAAAATAATATTTAATTGGAATAATTAATATGGTCAATTATGACCGCTAAACATATATGGATTACTATATAACAATTATAATAAATTTATTAAGATAATATATAATCTCTTATCTGTAACTCGTTATCATTTTTAGTTGATAAATAGGTTTTTTTAATTGTTCTAAAGGTTTTTTTTATAAATAATTGTTGCATTATTTTAATATAATTTATTATGTGTGTGNACCACCTGAGCTATCGTGACCTCGATCCACTCGGACATCAACTCCCCATCTCAACCCCACCTTATGAGTTTTCCCTCCTTTTGCCATTTTTCATTGGTCAAGCGGACCACGAAATTAGTGAATTTAATGAAATTGAAAGTGAATTATTATATATATAAATTTCCCTGAGGAAGGCAAACTATACCCGCTGAACGCATGGCAAACTTATAAAAGTTTTGTTCATTGGATCCACCACTGATGTAGATCTAGAATTAAAAAGTGCTGGTTGATAACTACATCCTAACTAAAGCTTTATGTTCAAATAAACCAGCTGAAAGGTAATGAAGTCAGGTAAGAAACATAAAGAAATTAAAAAAGAACCAAAGAGGAAAAGAGAGCCCATATTCATAATATGTAAATGTAAAAAAGTACTTTACAACAATGTTACTCCATCTACTTTTTAGCTGAAAATTTATTTGATTATTTTTCAACGATAGTTATCTGTGTTCTTATGATTTTTTTTAAATACAAACAAAAAACATGTGATTCCTGATGGAAAAATAAACAAGAAACATAAAGAAATTAAAAAAGAACCGAAGAGGAAAAGAGAAAGAAAACTAGATCTGTAATTACTGTTTTAAAACATGTACAAACATTAAATTTACAAACGGTAGTAATAAACAATGTAATATTAGTTTTAAGCTGACAATAAAAATATTATAATTGATGAAAAAATAAAAATAACAATACATGATATGTAAATGTAAAAAAGCACTTTACAGCAATGTTACTCCATCAACTTTTTAGCTGAAAATTTATTTGATTATTTTTCAACGATAGTTATCTGCGTTTTTATGATTTTTTTTCTATATAAACAAAAAACATGTGATTCCTAACTGCCAACACAAACATGGACAAACGAAGGCCTGTACGTGGTAGCAGGTCAAATTTTATCAGATGGCTGTAGGCCCTTCAACCTCCGACGGTATAAAAAAATACAAATAAAACTTTTTTTTCTACACGGTTTAACAGTGGAAAATTACGGAGGAACGCCTGTGCCCCCGTGGATAGTATTTCAAAGGGGATTGAATACCTGCATTCTACCCAAGGGGTTTAATACCCTAAACCGGTGGCATAATAAAAAAATGAAGGTTGACTTATGAAATTTTGTCTGAGGTTGACGGAAACTTTTTAATAGTCATAGATCACAAATTTCCTTGGAATTGACCATAAACAGCAGATATAGGCTCTATGTAAACTTTGTTTATACTTTTACGAACAGAACAAAAATATTAAATAATTAATTTGTCTAGTCATTGAATAAGGTGATTCGTATAATTTGCAGGATTAGTGCAAAATATCTCTAGTAATCACCCCATTGATTATATTAAATTGTTCCTATCGGAAAATAATATCAGGGTTTTTTACCCGGTGTTTGGACCAATAAACCTTTAAGATCGTGGTTGTTTACACAAATTTATCTCTACTTTAATTATGTTTATTTATAAATGCTTTCACAGATTTTAGTTTCAATTCATCCAAAGAAAAATATCACGATTTCGGTGTTCTTTTGATTAGTTATTTGGTACTGGAAACATTGTTAAATAAAAAATCTATGTGCCAATGAAATAAATCGCACTTTTAACAACATCTCAGGATGCACTATTTAATATGAACCTATTTGAATAAAGAATTTTTCGTTCGTTCATTAATCTAACAAAATTGATTGAATATAAAAAAATATTTATTTGCATTGTATAAATTCACTTTTTTCCACATCCTGCATGTTTTGTTAAATGTAAACAGTGTTTGTAAATCCCAGGCCCTGAAGATGATCTCAAAAAAGATCGAAACGTTGGCACGATAAAGAAAATGTTTTTCTGAAACCTACATCACACCAGACCGCATCTCACGATTTCTGAATAATAATCTAACAAGTCTTGCTTCTGAAATGAATGTGCTGAGTAATGGCGAGATGTCATAAATTAAAACGCTCAATATATCATTGTTGATACGATTATTGAACATTTTCTAAAATAATTGGTTCTCATTGTGATTTTAATTGAATTCGTTTTGAGATAAACCGATCAAATCGTTGTTTTTTTGATAGTTCGAAAGTTGATTATTTTCCTATGATTCAGTCCGTAGGACGGCTGTAGTAGAAGCGACCAGATTGTCAAATCTATCTATTGACAAAAGTTTTCGTATTTTCGAATTTTCTTCATTTCCTAGTCAAGCCCTTAAGGGTTATCCAGGGTCTATTGGTACATAAATTGTCCTTTTTACTTTTTGTAAAGTATGGTTCCTACTCAAAGCTATACGATCTGTGAATCCTTTTTTTACAAAAAGTGAATCTATATACTCACCCCAGTTTTATTATTTCTATAAATTATCCGTTTTCCTACTATAAATTCACTTATTTGCCTTATTTCTCGGTCCTTTGAGCTGGAGGAGCAGATTGACTCTTTATTGTCTTTGATAAGGTGAACCATTTTTTATGAATTCATAAGCTTAGTTTATATGGTTTTCATGGCTCAGAAGCTATTTGACGGAACGTTATCAAATTACAAGTTCGTGATATTTTCTCCATCCGTTTTTTAGTTTCATCAAATGTATG